ATTTGGGGAATTTGGGTATTTCGGGGTTTGGAATTTGGGGAATTTCTGGAATTTGGGGAATTTGGGTATTTCGGGGTTTGGAATTTTGGGAATTTGGGGAATTTCTGGAATTTTGGGAATTTGGGTATTTCGGGGTTTGGAATTTTGGGGATTTTGGGTATTTCGGGGTTTGGAATTTGGGGAATTTGGGGAATTTCTGGAATTTTGGGAATTTGGGTATTTCGGGGTTTGGAATTTGGGGAATTTCAGGAATTTTGGGAATTTGGGTATTTCGGGCTTTGGAATTTGGGGAATTTGGGAATTTCGGGGTTTGGAATTTGGGGGATTTGGGTATTTCGGGGTTTGGAATTTGGGGGATTTGGGGAAATTCTGGAATTTAGGGAATTTGGGAATTTCGGGTTCGGAATTTTGGGAATTTGGGAATGTTGGGAATTTTGGGAAGGCGGTGCCCACCTCCAGCTCGCTGGGCGGCTCCGGGGGCGGGGCCGGGGGGCGGGGCCGGGCACAGAGAGCCCNCCCCAAAATTCCCAAATTTCCGAGCCCACCTGCGGAGGTCGAGGGGCGGCGCCTCCGGCAGCTCCGGCAGCAGCTCCGGGGGCGGGGCCGGGAGGGGCGGGGCGCTGGGGGCGGGGCCAAGCGTCAAACCACGCCCCCTGTCATCGTTAGCCACGCCCCTTTCAGACAGCCACGCCCCCTTTTAATCCAAGCCACGCCCCCTCTACCCATTAGCCACGCCCCCTTTCGATCCAAGCCACGCCCCTTTGAATCCAAGCCACGCCCCCTCTCCCCGTTAGCCACGCCCCTTTCGTCCAGCCACGCCCCTTCTAACTAAGCCACGCCCCCTTTTCCCCAAGCCACGCCCTCCATCAAAGCCACGCCCACTCCTTTAACATGCCGCGCCCTTTCAGAAAGCCACGCCCTCTTTCGCTCCAAGCCACGCCCCTTTTAGGTCAAGCCACGCCCCTCTTTTCACTAGGACACGCCCCTTATAAAGCCACGCCCCTTTTCCCAACCCACTCCCTCCATCAAAGCCACGCCCACTCCTTTCCAAGCCACGCCCACTCCATCCACAAGCCACGCCCCCTCTCCGCGTAAGACACGCCCACTCCTCTAAAAAGCCGCGCCCTTTCAGAAAGCCACGCCCTTTTATGTCAAGCCACGCCCCTTTTAACTAAGCCACGCCCCTTTTCCCCAACCCACGCCCTCCATCAAAGCCACGCCCACTCCATCCTCAAGCCACGCCCACTCTCTTACCAAGCCACGCCCCCTTCATTCAGCAAAACAGTGCCTGCTCTCCCCAAACCACGCCCCTTTTCTCTTTAAGCCACGCCCCTTTTATAGCCACGCCCTTTTACCCCAATAATCTCCCTCAATCGAGGCCACGCCCACTCCATTACCAAGCCACGCCCCTTTCAGCAAGCCACGCCCTCTTTCAATCAAGACACGCCCCTTTCTGTTCAAGCCACGCCTCTTTTAGATAAGCCACGCCCACTTTACCAAGCCACGCCCACTCCTCTAACATGCCGCGCCCTTTCAGCAAGCCACGCCCCCTTTCCCTCAAACCACGCCCCTTTTAGGTCAAGCCACGCCCCTCTTTTCACTAAGACACGCCCCTTATAAAGCCACGCCCCCTTTCCCAACCCATTCCCTCCACCAAAGCCACGCCCACTCCTTTCTCAAGCCACGTCCCTTTCAGCAAGCCACGCCCCCTTTCAATCCAAACCACGCCTCCTTATAACTAAGCCACGCCCCCTTTTCCCCAACCCACTCCCTCCTTCAAAGCCACGCCCACTCCTTTCCAAGCCACGCCCCTTTCAATCCAAGCCACGCCCCCTTTCACTTAAAGCCACGCCCTTTCACTCCAAGCCACGCCCCCTTTCAACTAAGCCACTCCCCCTTTTCCCCAACCCACTCCCTCCGTCAAAGCCACGCCCACTCCTTTCCAAGCCACGCCCACTTTCAATCCAAGCCACGCCCCTTTTAACTAAGCCACGCCCCCTTTCCCCAACATACTCCCTCCATCAAAGCCACGCCCACTCATTTAACAAACCGCGCCCTTTCAGCAAGCCACGCCCCCTTTTATTTCAAGCCACGCCCCTTTCAAACCAAGCCACGCCCCCTTTAACTAAGCCACGCCCCCTTTTCCACAACCCACGCCCTCCCTCAAAGCCACGCCCACTCCTTTACCAAGCCACGCCCACTCCATCCTCAAGCCACGCCCCTCTCCCCATAAGCCACGCCCACTCATTTAACATGCCGCGTCCTTTCAGCAAGCCACGCCCCCTTTTAACGAAACCACGCCCTCCTTTTACCAAGCCACGCCCATTCACTTTTTCTTTTTTTTTTTTTTTTTTAAATCAAATTCACCCAAAATTTTGGGAATTTCCCCCAAATTCCTTTTTCTGTTCAATTCTGATTTTTTTGGGTAAATTTCGGCTGGTTGAGGGTTAAGCCCCGCCCACTTCTGCTTTCGCTGGCGGCCATTTTGTGCCTGATTTTTTTTTTTTTTTTAAATTTTTTTATCAATTTTTTCCCAAAATTTTCCCAAATCCTCCCAGATTTTTTGCCATTTTTTCTTCCTGAAATTCCACTTCCGGTTGAATCCCGAAAATTTTTGGATGAATCCAAGAATTTTTGGGTTAAGCCCCGCCCACTTCCGGTTTCTGGCAGCCATTTTGCGGCAGATTTTTTAAATTTTTTTCATGAAATTTTTCCAAAATTTTTTTTGGGGGAATTTTCGGAATTTTCCAGAGTTTTCCAGAATTTGGAGGATTTTTGGGATTGGCCACGCCCATTTCTGGTTTAGGCCACGCCCCCACCTCGGCTCCTCCTCCATCGGCTCCAGGGAAATCTCTGCGGAGGGGGAGGGGAAAAATCAGCCCCGAAATTCCCAAATTTCCCCCCAAAATCTCCAATTTCCCCCCAAAATTCCCAATTTTTCCCCCAAATCCCCTAAATTCTCCCAAAATTCCCAAATTTCCCCCCAAAATTCCCAAATTTTCCTCCAAAATTCCCAGTTTTACCTGAAATTTCCAAATTTTCTCCCAAAATTCCCTATTTTTTTCCAAAATCCCAAATATTTCCCCAAAATTCCCAATTTTCCCCCAAAATTCCCTATTTGTTTCCAAAATCCCAAAAATTCCCCCAACATTCCAAATTTTCACTCAAAATTCCCAAATTTTCCCCAAAACTCCCAAATTTCCCCCCACAATTCCCAATTTTTCCCAAAATCCCCAAAATTCCCCCAAAACTCCCAAATTTCCCCCCAAAATTCCCAGTTTTTCCCAAAAAGTCTCCTAAAATTCTTGAATTTTCCCCCAAAATTCCCAAATTTCTCCCCCAAAATTCCCTATTTTTCCCAAAACCCCCAAATTTTCCCCAAAACTCCCAATTTTCTCCAAAAATTCCCAATTTCCCCGCCCCAAAATTCCCTATTTTCCCAAAATGCCCAAATTTCCCCCAAAATTCTGATTTTTCCCCCCAAATTCCCAATTTCCCCCAAAATTCCCAAATTTTCCCCCAAAATTCCCTATTTTTCCCAAATTTCCCCCAAAATTTCCCTATTTTTCCCAAAATTCCCAAATTTTCCCCCAAAATTCCCAAATTTTTGGCGCCTCACCGGAGCTGGGCGGGGCCAGGCTCGGCTCCAGCGCCTCCCGCAGCACCTGGGGAGAAATTTGGGGCAAAATCCCCAAAATTTGGGCAAAATAGGAATGTGAGGGGTGAAAAAAGGGAATTTTGGGGAAAATTTGGGGATTTTGGGGGAAATTTGGGGAATTTTGGGCAAAATTTGGGATTTTTGGGGCAAAATTCCCATATTTTTTAGGGTTAAAATTGGGAATTTTCGGGCAAAATTTGGGATTTTGGGGATTTTGGAATTTGGGAATTTGGGGATTTTGGGAATTTGGGGACTTTTGGAATTTTTGGGATTGGGAATTTTGGGAATTTGGGGATTTCGGGTTCTGGAATTTTGGGAATTTTGGGATTTTTTTGGGATTGGGAATTTCAGCATTTGGGGATTTCAGGGGTTGGGCATTTTGGGAATTTTGGGATTTTGGGTTCTGGAATTTTGGGAATTTTGGGATTTTTTGGGATTGGGAATTTCAGAATTTCGGTGTTTCAGAGTCGGGAATTTCGGGAATTTGGGGATTTCAGAGTCGGGAATTTCGGGAATTTGGGAATTTGGGGACTTTTGGAATTTTTGGGATTGGGAATTTTGGGAATTTGGGGATTTCGGGTTCTGGAATTTTGGGAATTTTGGGTATTTCGGGGTTTGGAATTTTGGGAATTTGGGGAATTTCTGGAATTTGGGGAATTTGGGTATTTCGGGGTTTGGAATTTGGGGGATTTTGGGTATTTTGGGGTTTGGAATTTTGGGAATTTGGGGAATTTCTGGAATTTTGGGATTTGAGGACTTTGGGGTTTGGAATTTTGGGAATTTGGGGAATTTCTGGAATTTTGGGAATTTGGGTATTTCGGGGTTTGTAATTTTGGGATTTTGGGTATTTCGGGTTCTGGAATTTGGGGAATTTGGGAATGTTGGGGAATTTTGGGACTTTCCGGGTTTGGAATTTTGGGAATTTGGGAATTTCGGGGTTTGGAATTTTGGGAATTTGGGAATTTCGGGGTTTGTAATTTTGGGAATTTGGGAATTTCGGGGTTTGGAATTTTGGGAATTTGGGAATTTCGGGGTTTGGAATTTGGGGAATTTGGGGAATTTCTGGAATTTGGGGATTTTGGGTATTTCGGGGTTTGGAATTTGGGGAATTTGGGAATTTCGGGGTTTGGAATTTTGGGAATTTTGGGTATTTCCGGTTTTGGAATTTGGGGAATTTGGGGAATTTCTGGAATTTTGGGAATTTGGGTATTTCGGGGTTTGTAATTTTGGGATTTTGGGTATTTCGGGGTTTGGAATTTTGGGAATTTGGGTATTTCGGGGTTGGGATTTTGGGAATTTCGGGCTCTGGAATTTGGGAATTTGGGAATGTTGGTAATTTTGGGAAGGCGGTCCCACCTCCAGCTCGCTGGGCGGCTCCGGGGGCGGGGCCGGGGGGCGGGGCCGGGCACAGAGAGCCCAGAGGCGGCGCAGGGCCGGGGGGAGGGG